AAACAGTGAAAATAGGTAAATGAGAATAGACAAAATAGAAATTGATAGTTTGATAAATGAAATCCGATATATATATACATATATATATATATATATATATATATATATATATATATATATATATATATATATATATATATATATATATATATATATATATATATATATATATATATTTACGGGTCGGTTCTGGGTCGGTTCCGATAAGACCCGTAACCCGATCCAGAACCATCCGGTTCTAGAAACTTAAACCCATTACCCGACCCAGAACCATTTAGCTGACCCAGACCCGCCCCAAACGGGTCGGTTCCGGGTCCAAGACCCGCCAAACCCGTACCCATTGCCATCCCTAGTTTTAAGTTTGATCATGCCGAATATAGAAAGAATATTCAAATAATATTTATTTTATTACAATATAGTAAAATTAGGGCTGCGACTGGGTCAGATCGGTCGATTACCGGCCTAATAACAATCTCCATTAGACAAACAAATTTTGCTAAACTTTGAAAACTATTGGCGACCGAAGCTTTATTGATTGGTTAAGCCGGTAACTGAATAGTTGGTTTCGAAATGGGTCGATTGAGGGATATATTCGCCACCTAGTTCACTTAACAAAACAATCTAAATTTTGGAATAAAGAATCGGAGACAAATGAAATTAATGGGGTTTTGTGGACTTTTTGTTTGTCCGCGGCTTGGGATGAAAGAAACGGGTGGAAACTGTGTGTCAACTTTTTATTCGTTATTGAGTTTTCGTGTTTTAAATTAAAATACTAACTATTTTGATAATTTGTTGTTTTTTTTTGAAACAGAAGCATATTATTAGGCTACATTAGCCAATACCGGGGGAAGAATAATTCCTTCCAAATATTCAGTACAATCAAGCTTCGCAATGGCATGGGCAAGACAATTACCCGAACGTTTCACAAATTGAAAGAAACAAGAATGAAAACATTTAGCTGTGTTAATCCCGTCTTCAATAATAGCTCCAAAAGACACGTATTTCGCTTCTCCTATGTTGAAAGCTTGGATAATTGGAAGACAATCTCCTTCGAAAATGACATCTTCCCAACCTCGATCTTTCGCCATCTTGATAGCCATAACTGCCGCCATGGCTTCTGCATCTATGGGCCGCGGACCACCAGGAAATTTCGCCACTCGCCACCCCATGCACGTACCATCGTGATTCCGGGCAGCCACTCCGAGTGTAAAGCAGCGCTGGTTCTGGATAAACCCAGCATCAAAGTTTATTTTGATGAATCCTGCCGCTGGAGGAAGCCATACCGTTGGGTGGATCGCCGCTGCCATAACACCACTTGGTCGGAGAGTTGCTGCCTTGAAAATCCACATATAGTGCTTACTCCATGCCACGATGTCTTCCGCCGCCACCACGTCTCCGCCATGTATTCTCTTATTCCTGTTCTCCCAAAGCTTCCAAATAACGACCATGGCTAGCTCAAAAACCTCAATCGAGTTTTTTTCCTGAAATTGATCCAACCAATCCCACATTGAGGTACGGTTCAGATTGTACAATCCCTTGAATGGAGTATCTCTCCAAATTTTCCACGAGGATGAACAATCAAGAATCATATGAATGGAAGATTCGCATGGTCCCTGGCAAATTGGGCAGGTCGGTGACGACACAATCCGTCGTCGGAATAGGATTTCATTTGTAGGAATAATATTGTTTGCAAGTCGCCAAACGAAAATTTTAATTTTGGGTGGAATTCGAAGTTTCCATATGCGTTTCCACCGATCTTGATCACACTTGCCACTCGATCCCGTATTCTCCACCGCTTTCCAACCTAGTATCTCCGGAAAATCAAATAATGCATGATAGCATGACCGAACAGAGAAGCGGCCATCATTTGCAAATCTCCAAACCCAACGGTCTCCTGTCTCCGGTCCTCCGAACGGCACATCGACAATGCGGTCCACATCCACTCTCCAAAAGGTATCTGCGAGGAGCTTGTATTTCCAGGAATGCGTATCAAAATCAATAAGGTCTGCCACTACATTTGGAAACGCCGTATGAGAGGGGCGGCGAGTGATAATTTTATTGGAGCCAGCATCATGGAGCCATGCATCTGCCCAAATGGATGTTTCCCGCCCATTTCCAATCCGACGTCGAAGACCCAACTTAAGAACTGGCAAGACATTGCATATACTCTTCCACGTGGCTGATGGGCGGGACCCTCCTGCTGCCTCTAGAATATTGGAGCTCGGAAAATATTTGGCTTTCAACACTCTCGAGAGAAGAAGATCCGGACATGTGAGAATTCGCCATGCCTGTTTAACAAGCATCGCAGCATTGAACTGATGGAGATCCCGGAACCCCAGACCTCCTTGCGCTTTGGACCGACACAGATCCCGCCAACCTAACCACGCCACCCCTCTACTAGCCTCCGATCCCCACCAATACCGCCTTATAGCCGCTTCCACACTTAAAATGATTCCCTTTGGTAACATGAAGCATCCCATGATGTACGAGGGGATCGCTTGAAGAACGGATTTAATAAGAATTTCCTTTCCTGCCTTTGACAACTGTTTTTCACCCCACCCTTTTATCTTCGCCCAAACCCTATCACGTAAATACGAAAATATTTCCTTCTTGGAGCGCCCCATCATTGCTGGCAAACCGAGATACTTCTCGTGTTTCTCCACGACTTGGAACCCGAGGATCTGACCAATCACGTCCCGCTTATCTTGAGGCGTCATCGGACAAAAGGTAATAGTAGACTTGTCGTAGTTAATAAGTTGACCCGACACCCTCGCATATAAGTCTAAAATCTCCTTCAGTTTTCTCGCATAATCAGTAGAAGCTTCCCCAAAAATCAAAGTATCGTCAGCAAAACTCAGATTTGCAATCTCCGGGGCCTCCGGTGCGACCTTAACACCCTTAAATTCCCCTGATTCTGTAGCTCTAGTCAGGAGGGCGAACAACGCCTCCGCACAACAAATAAATAGATAAGGGGATAAGGGATCCCCCTGCCTTAACCCTCGAGATGGAGTCACCGATCCAAACTGCGAGCCATTGAAGAGAAAAGAGAATGAGACTGTAGAAATACACAACATAATTAGGTTCACCAACTGATCCGGAATACCAAAACGAGAAAGAATTTTCATCAGAAAAGGCCATTCAATACGATCGTATGCCTTACTAATATCAAGTTTAAGAGCCATAAAATTAGTTCTCACCCTAGAATTCAACTTAATAAAATGATTGATCTCGTAAGCAACAAGGACATTATCAGTTATTAACCGTTTTGGCACAAATGCAGATTGACAAGGAGAGATCAAATCATTAAGCACAAATTTCATATTTGACTTCGTTGAAATAATTCCATTTTTTTTAGGGCGGAGCTTATCCACTTAAAAACAACCACACACAGTCCACATCCATTATACTGAAATTAAAAATGGGTAATGGCAAATAGGCCCATGACAAGGGTACTTAATTAAAAGAGGGACATCCAATTTTTTTGTCTTTCAAATAAATCCAGCTCATTCAAACTTATTTGCGAATAAGGAAAATCCTTTTATATATACCAAAATTACCCCCAATTCATTGAAACCCAATTCAACTTCAATTTCATGATTTACACCCCAATTTAGCCCAATTTAATCAATTAACCAATTTTAACCATAATTTCAATTTTGACCCCAATTTTGACCCGCCACCACCGGAGACCGCCGGTCGCCGGCGTTGACTTTTTTTTTTTCTTTTTTTTTTTTTGAAAAACTTTTTTTTTTTCCTGAAATTTTTTTCCGGCCGGTCAACGGCTCCTCTAGTTGAATCATAACGACTTACTTCAATTTTGACTTTATCTCCTGGCAGTATCCGTATAAAACTACATCGGATCTTTCCTGAAACATAACCTATAATCAGATCTTCATTATCTAACCGAAACCGGAACATGCCATTGGGGAGCGATTCGGTAATTAAACCTTCATGAATCCATTTTTGTTCTTTCATTCCAGGTAAGGCCCCCGTGAAATATCAACTAATGGGTCTCCGGCGTTGACTTTTTTTTGTTTTTTTTTTCTTAAAAAAATATTTTAATTAATATTACTGTCTTGGTTGCTAAATTACTGTCTCCGACAGTTATTTAACTGTCGGAGACAATAATTTAACTGTTAATTGACTTTTTTTTTTCTTCAAAAATATTTTAATTAATATTACTGTATTCGTTGCTAATTACTGTCTCCAGCAGTTATTTAACTGTTGGAGACAGTAATTTAACTGTTAATTGACTTTTTTATTCTTAAAAAAAATATTTTTAATTAATATTACTGTATTCGTTGCTAAATTACTGTCTCCAGCAGTCAGTTATTTAACTGTTAATTGACTTCTTTTTTTTTTTTTTTTTTTTTCTAAAGTAAAAACTATTTTAATTAATATTACTGCCTTGGATGCTAAATTACTGTCTCCAACAGTAATTTAACTGTCTTAGACAAAAATATTAATAATATTACTGTTCGGGAAAATAATATTCATAATATTTCTGTCCCAAACAGTAATATTACTGTCTGAGACAGTAATTTAGTAGCCAAAACAGTAATACTAATTAAAATATTTTTTTTCTAAGAAAAAAAAATTCAAAAAAAAAAAAAAAATCAACGCCGGAGACCGGCGGTCAACAGTGGTTGGTCGCGTTGACCGGCCGGAAAAAAATTTCAGGAAAAAAAAAAGTTTAAAAAAAAAAAGAAAAAAAGTCAACGGTGGTCAACGCCGGAAACTGGTCTGAATCTGGCCGGAAAAAAAATATTTCAGAAAAAAAATTATTTTCTGAAAAAAAAGTTTTGGGGGTTAATGTGATATATTTGTTTAAATACGGGGTCAATGTGTAATATTAAGGAAGTTAGAGCATAATGGGTGGAATTGATAAGAATTATATTATGGGATAATTACACTTTCCGTCCCTATACTTTGCCACTTACACGATTTTCGTCCCTAAACAAGATGAAGTTACAATTTTCGTCCCTAAACATGTCACTTTTATGCCGTTTTTGTCCCTCCGTCCATTTGTCCAGTTAGTTTGGACGGAAAATCGCACGTGCGCCGCACGTGACACACAAAAACACCCCACTCCCCCTCATAATGTTCAGATTTTCAGAATATTACATAAATATCCAAATTCTCGGCCAAATCCTAAGCCCAAATTTTCGAAGCAAGAGTTGTGCGTTAAGCGTCTGTACAACTTCATTTTGCAACCGAAATTCTCTGCAACGAAATCTCTGAGGATGAGGGCTTCTGAAATATCTCTTGTTTGTAGAGCAATTACTGCTAATTCTTCTCATGAACGCGGTATTTTTACTTCTTCTTTCTCTTTCTCCTGCCACAAATTTTCAACTGCGTCCAGAACAGATTCGATTTGTATAAATGAATTAGATGAAACTGTTTTCTTGATTCGTAAAATGATGAGAGTGCGACCACAGCCCTCCGTTTTTGAACTCACCAAACAATTGCAAGTTATTGTCAAGATGAAACAATACTCCGTCGCCCTTAAACTGTTCGACGAAATGCGTCAATGGGCTGGGTGCCCCTGTAAATGTATACACGATGAACATCTTGATTAATTGTTGTTGCCATTTGAGAGGGGTAGACTTCGGTTTTGCTATATTCGGCAGCTTCCTTAAACACGGTTACGAGGCAAACGTTACGACATTCAACACTCTCTTAAAAGGTCTCTTTTTAGATGGTAATGTGGCCGAGGCGGAGAAATTGTTCAAGAAGATTTTGACTTTGAAACTCTGTCAGCCAGACGATGTTACGATTCTTACTGTGATTGACGGGCTCTGCAAAGCTGGACGTGTTCATACTGCCCGTGATTTGCTTTTGTTGTTGGAAAAGACTATCTATAAACCCAGTGTTAAGGCCTATAGTGCGGTAATTGATTGTTTATGCAAGGGCGGAATGGTGGATAATGCACTCGAGCTCTTGTTTGCCCACTTTCTAATTGTGCTTTCAATGATGAATTCATAAGGAATTGAGAGGTTTCGAAAATTGGGGCTTAGGGTTTTCCGGAGAATTGGGGCTTAGGGTTTTCCGGAGAATTGGGGCTTAGGGTTTCTAAAAATCTGAACGTTTTGAGGTGTAGAGGTGCTTTTGTGTGTCACGTGCGGCGCACGTGCGATTTTCCGTCCAAACTAACTGGACAAATGGACGGAGGGACAGAAACGGCATAAAAGTGACATGTTTAGGGACGAAAATTGTAACTTCATCTTATTTAGGGACGAAAATCATGTAAGTGGTAATGTATAGGGACGAAAAATGTAATTATCCCATTATATTATTGATGGTATTTTAGACTAAAGACATGGGGATGAGTTTAATTGAGAGACTGTTTTTTTGTGGACCAAAATGCATTTAAGTCCCATGTGATGGGCCTTTTTGCCATTCGCTCAATTAAAAATCTATTTTTAAAAAAAATTATTAATATAATTGGTTTACCGATGGTTATTAGTCAAACGATGTTTGATGATATTAGGAACCATCAACCTATTCAATACATTGTACTTTTAAAACCAACATTTACCTTCATCAGCTGAATGACAGTTGAAGCCGTTACATTTGATATATTTGAAATGGGTGGCGGTAGGATTCGAACTCAAGACCTTTTATTTGGCATGATTCTAATACCATGCTTAGGGGTGCAAGTTGGAACGGAATTTCCAACTTCCGCCGGTTCCGATCCGAAAAGTTCCGATTTTGGAACAACTTTTTTCATTCCGACTTCCGAAATTCCGATTTTTTTGGATTGGAATTGGAGTTATATAAAACAAATTTGGAATTTCCGATTTCCAATCCGATTTAATTCCGAAAATTTCCAATTTTTCTTCCGAAAAATACACCTTTAAATAATATATATTATATAATACTTCATTTCCGAAAAATACACTTACAAGTTTTGTTTTAGGATTTTGACATAATGAATTGTTGTTAGAAGTTTTATTGGATATTGTGCTGTGTTTATTTATTTTTATTTTTTTTGAACTAAAATTTAGTAGTTATTAGTTTTACTTTTATTGACGTGGATGTTCTTATTTTTCAAAAATTATGAACATTTTAGTAAATTTCAGCTAAGGGTTGAAATTTAAAAGCTTATGTGATTTCCGATTTTTTCCAAAATTCCGAAATTTCCGGGCCTTTGGAACTAGAATGAATTTTTAGATTCCGAATTTTTTGGAATTGGAATTGATTTTGTACTTCCGATTTTTTTTGGATTTTTTCCGAAAAGGTTATTTCCAATCCGATCCATCCGACTTTCACCCCTAACCATGCTGAATGACCATCTCAATCAAATGCTTAAGTTGTTACTCAAATGTATCATTTAATATTAATAATAATTACCTCATTGGAATATTAAATAACAAACCCCTGAGTGAAGTCTAATTACAAAAACTCCCTCATATTTTTGTAGTTCTAAAAATCCCCCTCGGACCAATGTCTGACGGTTTAAATTCAGATTTGATACTAAGGAATAAGGATCTTAGATATTATAAAAATTACAGCGATCAACCCACATATCACGCAAGTGAGTAAATAAGGGGTTTGCTATTATGCCCGCAAAGGTATAGCTCAGCTGGTTACGGGGCGGTAAGTTGGTATAAGATCCTACAATCGAATCCAGGCAGCCGTAGTGTGGAAATTTCAACTTCAATGAGGGTTAGTTCCTTGTGGGCACCAAATCCGGATGCGCTACCCCAGGGGCGGAACCAGGATCAAAATGTAGGGGGGGTAACTAAAATTTTGGGGTTCGGGGGAGAGCCCCGGAAAAAAATTTAGGTGCACAAAACATGCAAAAAATAAGTTTATATAACTAAGTTTTAATTAAAATATCATATATATATATATATATATATCATATTTTAATCATCACAAAAAAATCTAAATTAATTCAAATTATTCTAATAATATACTGCACTTAATATTCGGAGATTCATGGCACGATCTCATTTTTTTTTAAGGCGTTAGATAAAAAAAATTCAAAAATAAGTAATACTCATAAATTTTATTTAAAATAATACAAGTTTTAACCATCTTATTTTATATTTTATATTAAATATGATATATTTATCTATAATTTATATAAGATTTTGGAGAAAAAACAAAAAAAATAATGGGTCAAGATAAACATTTACAAAAACTTTGGGGGGGCCAAAAGTAATATTCAAAAAATATAGTACCAAATATCTAAAAAAAATTCTTGGGGGGTCAACGACCCCCCATGCCCCTATCAACTTCCGCAAGTGCGCTACCCTAACAAGCATTTGAAGTCACTATGATTTACATTTCTCCATTAAATCTCACGATTACAGTCATCATGTCGGGTTTGATAAAGAAATTTTTTTCCTTTCATTATTTTTTCAAAAAATTGGCCTTATAAACTGCCTTACAACTGTACCCAAAGGGAACAGAACCCTTGACCTAATACCACCCTCTCCACCCCAATACCCCTCATGTAATGTCTTTGCGGCAGACTAGGTGTTGATGATAACAATGATAACCATCGCACGATGATTGGGTAGATTATGAAATGTTGTATTTTGCATTTTAATGTAATTTTATTTTGTGTTTTAATTTTTTTTTTGTTTTTTTTATAATATTTAACTTATGTTTTTGTAATGTTTAACTTATGATTTTGTAATATTTAAAATTTATTCCATTGAATGTAGTTGTAAATAACATAATTAGTCAATTATAATACATAAAAAACGAAGAAAAGTAACAATCTAATTATACATAAAAAAAAAAAAAATATATTCTAAAAATATTGTCTCACTCTCGTTGTCGGTTGCATGTCATCATCACCATTACTAGCTATCACCGCCATCACCACCATCATCATCGTCGTTGTTATCACGGTCGATGCATATCTGCACCCCAATCCGGTCTAGTGCTCGTCGCAACTGTGTATAAGACACGTACTACCTGATAAAACTATACAAGGTGAAACCTGATTCGGGGTCAACATAAGTTAACTTCAACATTAGTTGACATTCCATTTTTTTTTTATTATTTTAACTTTTTTTTCGGTTGCGGGTCGTCGGAGTTCTAGGTAGCTGACTCAACATTAATTATCTTCAACATTAGTTGACATTCCTTTTTTTTTTTCCTTTTCTCTTATGTTTTTTCTTTTAATTTTTTTTTTCGGCAACGACTCGTCTGAACTCTGATTAGTTGACTTGCATTAGCTTACTTCAACACTAGCTGACGTCTAACTTTTTTTTTCTTCCAGCAACGGGACGTCGGAGCTCTGGTAAGCTGACTATGCATTAGTTGAGTTCACACTAGCTGACATCCGACATTTTTTCTTCTTTCATTGAACTCATTATTCGTTAGCTGGCTGAGCATTAGCTAACACCCGATTATTTTAGTATTGAAGTCAACTAATCGTAGCTCCGATGATCCGCCATCGGAGAAGAAAAAAAAAAGGTCCGAATGTCAACTAATGTTGAAGTCAACTAATATTGAGTCAGCTAATTAACCGGAGATCCAACGACCCGCGCCCGGAAAAAAAAATGTCAACAAATGTAGAAGTTAAATAATGTTGAGTCAACTAACCAGAGTTTCGACAACCCACATCGAAACAAAATTAAAAGAAAATAAAGATTAAAAAATATAAAAAAAAATGGAATGTCAACTAATGTAGTGAGTCAGATAAATGGAGTGAGTCAGCTAAGCAGAGTATCGAACTTTAACTTCCCGCAGAGTATCGAACTTTAACTGTCATTTATTGTGATAATCGAGCAACTATCTACATTGCAAATAATCCCACCTTCCATAAACGTACCAAGCACATAAAAAGTCACTTCATTAGTTAACAGTCACTTCATCAGTAAACAAGTCACAAAAGGAGTCCTTATACTTCTTCCCATTCGTTCAAAAAACCAGCTAGCTGATTTATTTATAAAAGCACTTCATGTGTTTCTGCAATTTATAAGAGTGCTGCACATTATGTCTACATTAGTAATACTTGTACTGTAAATATAATATGTCACAAAAAAGTGCATGACAAGGAGTCCTTAAACTTATCCCCATTAGTAATACTTGTACTGTAAATATAATATGTCACATTATGTCATCATAGTTCTTCCTTTATTTCTCTTTTCTAAATCTATGTATTTTATTATTTTTATGATGTTTTCGCTTAAGAACATGAGTAGCTAAATCTTTTAATCTAGGATTTTGTTGGAACTCTATGTGGTAATTTGAACTTAGTGTTCTAATATTATGCAAGTTTAATTCGTTGATTGTTTCTTCTACATGATCTTATTTAGTGCATGAATCTAGCTAATTTATGTTACTATGTGTTATTGTTATAATTGAATCGACATATCGTTTTGATAATTAGAACATGTATAGAAGAATCTTCGAGTAGTTTTCACCGGATGAGTGTATTAATTGCATGTGCCGGATGAGTGTGTTAGTTGCATGTGGCCTGGTGTTATAGACATACAAATATCACCTTATGTAGCCGTTTATGAGATTTATTAATTAATGTTTCATTCATAATTAGTTTGCATAGATAAAATCCTAGGTCCGCTTCCATTGTTATTTCCTTGTTTTTATTCTCTTTCTTAGTTAATTATTTCGTGTTAAGAGCCCATTTCGTGTGGTTGGTTGGTTGTTGACCACGGAAAGCAAGTTGTCGCGGCTGCTCCACTCCGCTGCGGTCTGATGAACTGAACTTCGACCCTGCGGCCTGAAGTGACTTTCCAAAAATATTTAGTGCCAAATATGAAGAAGCATTCAAAAGAGAAGTTGCCCCTCGTTAGAGGGTTGAGCGAATTCGTAAAAGCGTCGGGCCTTTCTTTGGCTGAGCGGCATGTATTTCCACGGTGCTCTTTTTTCCAATTATGAAGCGTGGGTTCGGTAGAATAATTTCTTAGATGTTTAATATATAGATGAAATACTAGACATATGAAAAAACCCTCGATATCAAAAAACTCCAAAGAAAGTCGTTTTCCTCTTCTTTTTTTGTCTTTGATAGAAATACCTAAAATCTTGACAAACTTGTATAGGCCGGATAAAAATCGTAGTTGTTAAAATTCAATACTTAGGACTAGATAATTGAAGTATTCCCTATGGGATCCACATCCAACTCTTCCGAGTCCACTTTTACTACTTATTTGCGATACATGCACATTTCAGTATTTACCCCAACATGCATTGAACTATTACATTCTTCCTTCATGATGTCTATAATTCTTCATTGTGTACAAATCATTATGGACTTGTTTCCTTATTTTTAATTTACACACAATCACACACATATACATACAAAACTTGTCTAAATATGTATAAAGTTATATCCATGTATGTAACAACACATAGTGTAGTGAAGTCCCACCAAGAACTATAGTATAATAATACACAATAAACTAAAGGTAGAGAGAGAGAGAGAGAGAGAGAGAGAGAGGGGTGTTGGATGGGCGCACAATTATACAACAACAAAAGTTGGTACTTTTTCGTCTTGTAGTGGGTGTGAAGTTACTTATAAATTGATGCGACCACCCCTTTGCTTCCCTTCCCACTTGTTCACTTTGTCTCACTTCTCCCACTTTTTTTTTTTCTTTCTTTTTTTTCCCCAACACAAAGAAACTTCACTACTTCATTTTTCTTTCTTCCTTCCTCTGTTTCTTTTTTTTCCAGGTACTTCACATTCTCTACTCTTTTGTTCTATGGTTTTTTTTTTTTTTTTTTTTTTTCTGATGTATAAATGTCAATGCAGATTTTCAAATAGTAGCAAGAAAAAAAAATGGTGATTTCTGAAGCAAAACCTGCCATTCCAGTTGCCGGTGGATACTTGACGAGAAAAAAGCTTCTCAAGAATCTTGAGACCATAGGAAACGGAGCGATGATCAACGCGTTGCTTGACTCAATGCGGGCTTCTTCCCCCACGCGCGGTGGGCCCTACGACGCCCAAGATCACAACTCGTGGATCGTAAGTCCCGTTAAAAATCCCGATATTGGATTCATTCGTTCGTCATGTTTTTTTTTCCAATTCTCCTTCAGAATGTGTGCGTATTTACGTACTTAATACACAGAAACGTACGTGTTTATGACTAATCAATTCAATTAAACAGGTTCGTCATCCCTCGGCCTTGACCGAATTCGAGGAGATAACGAGTGCTTCAAAAGGGAAGCAAATCGTAGTCTTCTTGGATTACGACGGCACTTTATCGCCCATCGTAAACGATCCTGACCGTGCATTCATCACAAATGAGGTACATCTCCAGAAATCAGAAATTAGATGTTACATCTGGTTATTTACACATTTGAAGCGTAGATCTACACATAATCACACACGCACACACATATGTATGTGCGCTCAGTGAGTAGTTATTCAATCAAATCTATAGTTCAAATCCACCCGGTATAAATAACCAGGTGTAGCATCAATTATAAAATAATCAACAAAAAATCACCAAGAATAACATACAAATTTAATTATTTATAATTTTTTGTTCTATAATTAATCAGATGAGAGAAGCGGTAAAAAACGTTGCGGAGAATTTCCCGACAGCCATTGTTAGTGGAAGGTGTCGAACTAAGGTACATTTCATATATATATATATATATATATATATATATATATATATATATATATATATATATATATATATATATATATATATATATATATAGTAATTAACAACTTTGCTCTAAAATCAATCTGATGAATTTGTTGATTCTGATCAATTTTGAAGGTGTACAACTTTGTTCGATTGTCCGAACTTTACTATGCTGGCAGTCATGGAATGGATATCAAAGGACCATCAAAGGGCCATAGACAAACTAAAGTAAGTGAAATTATTATTTATTTTAATTATTATTTTTTTTAATTGTTAAAAATATAACTTTTTTTTAAATTTATTTATTTTTACTTTGTAAACTATTCAGGGAAATCAAACTGTCATGTGCCAGCCTGCAAGAGAATTTCTACCCATGATTGATGAGGTTGGTGTCTCTTCTTATAACTAACTATGTTTGTCTTTAGAGAATTAACCTTTTTATTTTATTTTTTTTAAATATTTTGTCTCCATTTTTTTTAGGTCTACAAATCTTTGGTAGAGAAAGTTAGATATATACCGGGGTCGAACGTGGAGCACAACAAATTTTGCCTGTCGGTACACTATCGTTGCGTTGAGGAAAAGGTAATTAACAAAATTCACCGTTTAATTATCCGAAATAAATAAGGGAAAAAAAATATATTCCGTTGGAGCAGATTAAAAAAAGTAATTTAAACTTGCGAAATTTCGCGAAATGCAGAGATGGTGCGAATTAGCTGATCAAGTTAAAAGGGTTGTCAAGAACTACCCGATGCTTCGATTGAGTCAAGGAAGGAAGGTTTTCGAGATTCGTCCCACAATTAAATGGGACAAGGGAAATGCCCTCGAATTTTTATTGGAATCATTAGGTAATTAATAATATATGTTGTCTAATTAAAAAAAAGTCGAAAATAGTGTGTAATTATTGCTGATATTTTTTTTTCGATTGGTTATCGATTTTTGTAGGCTATGCAGAATCGGACGATGTTTTTCCAGTCTATATAGGCGACGATAGGACAGATGAAGATGCATTCAAAGTATGTTGGATTGTTCTTTTAATAATATTAATGTTTTAAATTCAGTTTTTTTCCTTTATAAAATTTTCAAGATCAATTATATGGGAAAAAAAAGGCTTAATTAATGTGGTTATTGATCAGGTTTTGCGCGTGAGAGAACAAGGTGTAGGAATTCTTGTATCGAAGGCTCCCAAAGAAACGAATGCAACTTACTCGCTGCAAGAACCCTCCGAGGCAAGTACAGTAGAACCTCGATAAACCGACAACCTCGCTTAAATACTAGTTTATTTTCGCTAAATTAATAGAATTTTTTTACTGGTCCCGACTGTGTTAATTTATAAAGATTTAACTGTACTATAATTAAACTAGTCATGACTAATGAGATGATTAATATTGACACAGGTTATGCACTTCCTAAAACGTTTGGTGGAATGGAACAAGACAAAGCCATTAATTAATTAATTAATTAATTAATTAGTGAAGAAATTGTAGAGTAACCTGTCCTATTTGTTTTATGAGGGATGGGAGAGGTTGATAAATTAATTAATTAATTATTTATCTACTTCTTTTTACTTTCTACTTGTAATCTGATTCCAAAGGAATCAATTTTGTATTTATAACAATGGTGGGCACAATTATTGGAATATAATTCTCTCTATATTTAGAGGTTGTGCTCTGGTAAAAAAATTGTATCTTAGGAGGGTTTCTTAATAACACTAGTATTTCTCTCTTCGTGCGATGTATGGAATAACATTTTAAAAGTATAAAAAATAATTATTTAAATACATGATTAAAACAGTTATAGTAAAAAAAATATTACACTATTATAATAAAATTTATTAGTGTTATTTAAATTAAAGTGTTCATACAAATCCACTACGCAAAATATAATATAAATTTAATTGTAATAAAATGAGACTGATCGATAAGGAAATGAAGCAATTAATAAAGAAAAAAATAAATATAAATAAACGTGTAAATATTATTAGAGATGTATAGTTGAAAAATAAGAGATTGATGACATAATTTGGTTTGAAATTTGAAGTTTTTATAATTAGAAATTAGTAGAGAAAAAAAATAATTACAAAAAGGCCACAAGGATTTTTAGCGTTGTCCTATCGTCTTTTTTTTTTTTTTTGATAATGACGGAATCCGCAGCCTACCGTATAGGTGCACTAACCTACACTCTCGTATAATAGCTTGCAAACAATACGAGAGATGTAAATCACACTAGTGTAATCATGTGTGACAAACTCGACTTAGCAACCGTTGGCAAAAGGATTCGAACTTTCGTAAATTCACAAAAAAAATATTTATCTCTAATTGTGATTTTCCTTTAGAAAATAGAAAAATCTTAATTAAAGTGAAACAAAACTGAACCTTTGAAAATTTTATTATAATTTTCCACTTCTAAGAATAGTAACACACATTATACCATGATGTGTGTGTGTGTGTGGGCGCGTGCGCGCACAGTGTAAGCACGAGTCTATGTGTAGATGTGCATTTGAAATGAAAGCACAATTACAGTTATTATAGCTTTACATCCTTAGACTAGGTTCGGCGTTACATCCAAAAGAATTAGAAAGCAAATTAATTATTATAGCTATGTTCAATAATTCAGTTGTCCATGCATTTTTGCATACATATAGATGGAAGACAAAACAAATAATTTTTATTATTTTTTTTTTTTTTTTTTTTTTTTGTGTAAAATATCAATTGGGATGAAAAATGGTATTTTCTTAGAAAAAATTACACTAAAAGTAAATAGTTCGATAAATCGATTTCTTATGAGAGAAAAAAATCGTTAAACAATACAACAAATAATAAAGAGGAAATTAGCCAAAAGTCCCTTACACCATATTGTGTTTTCGATATAGAAATATTGTGTATTCGATACAGAAGAGTTTACTCCATATTCTTGCACCAAATGGTGAAATTTCTTGCCCTTAGGGTTCCTATCTCCTGGTCCAATAAGTTTTTGATGAATGAATGTAAATCATGGTGACTCAATATAGCTCGTTAGGGTAATAGATCTGAGTCTGGTGCCCACAAGAAAACTAACCTTCACTGAAGTTGAAATTATCACGCTACGACTGCCAGTACTCGATCCTATGACCTTGCATCAACTTACCACTCAGGTAACAAGTTGAGTTTTACGCATGCGGGCCATTATTCCAAATTCTATACTCCAACATATGGGTGATATATATAAAGTACAATTTTAATTTGTGTTTTACAAATATTACAATATTTGATAAAAATGAGAATTTTATGGATAGTTTTAGAGTGTAAATTTACACACACACACACACATTATATATATATAGATAATGTGTGTGTGCGCGCGCGCGCGGAGGCGCACGCACGAGAAAACATGAATAATTGTTAGGGTAAATTACTACCATTCTACTGAAGTAAGTTCTAATTATGAAAAAAGATTATCTTCTTTAGGTAATTACAACCAGCTCCCTCAAAGGAATTTTCTTATATGTCCACCCTAATGCTGTCAAATTCAACAAAACATTTTAAATTACGTGAAATGTTTTCTAGTTTATACTCGTTTTGTCAAAAAAATGCAGTTTCTGATGCACCACAATCTGATATTTACAAACCAAGAGAGGCGATCTTATGATCATCTTGTTTCAAAATGTGGAGTTGTACAATTTCAAAATATGGAGTTCGAATGTGGTACAACGAGTACAAAATAGAGAATATTCCAAATAGTTTAAAAGATTCCACCAAATTTGACACCGTAATAATAGACATGTAATAAGATTCACATTTGATGATTCAATTGTAATTATCCAAACATGAGAATTTTTTTCGTAATTTAACCTTAACTCAGGAGTATCCGTAAATTACCCTAATTATTAATATATGTGTACGGTAAGATGTTAGGTAGTAACTGCAATTTCAAACAAATTATAGTACGGAATTCCTCAAATGGGGATGGCGGTATTATAATGGCATGCACATGCATTGGGTTGGTTAAAGGTAGGTAACTTTAGGCGCCCAAAACGATGCGTTTTATTGAATCGTGATCCTTCTTTTCTCATGTTTAATGGACCATTAGTACTAATTAATTAATATATTATAGATTTAAATATATATAGTTGTAGGCATCTTAACAGTTGGATATAAACTTTAGGTTAATTATGCAGTACTTATTTAATGTTTTTAGTGATTAAGGGTATAAGTACGTGGTTGGTTTCAGGGGGTTCTACGTTGGCATTTTTATTTTCAAGTCGGCCGTAATTATTATTGTCTAAGTCAGGAAATTGATAAAATAATTGTATATCTAGGGCTCGTTTGGTTGATGAGATTAGTCATGATTAAATAAATAATGAGACTTTTTTTGATGTATGATCGAATAACTTGTTGGGTCGACCTGTAAATTTTATGTAATCATTTTTTATCTTGCCTTTTAGGCATGTTTTTTATTAAATCTTCCAAGGTTCAATGTACAATTTAGTTTAATTAAATTATTTAATTTTATTTTGGCTAATCTTATCTTGGCAACCAAACGAGATCTAGTGTATTTGCCATAAAATATATAAACTGAGGGTGCATTATATTTAGTCATTTCAGGGATGCGATAAAGGTCGTCGTCGTTTCAGTTTTAATAATATTTTTGTGAATTCAAACGTGATTTTGATCGTTTTCAAGTCTGAATTTGGCAAAACTCGATACATGGAATTCGTAGGCCTTTGAGTTAGCTTTCTAATTCAACTTGAATCACTAAATTTGCATGTCGATTGATAAAAATATGCATGAATCGATGAGCATTGTCAACAACTTTAATGTTGTGAGTTATCTAAAGTTTAAAATGTAACTCATTTGTCACCCAATATACAATGTAACTAATTAAAACTGGATTGTAAAAATAACATAAATGGCATCAGTTCCCGTGTTTTAAATTCTACCAAAATCAGACTAAAAAAGGTCAAAATCACGTTTAAATAAAATCAAAACGACATTAGTAGATTTGAAACCATATCTAACATTTCAATTTAAAAAAAAACCCGATAATTTATAGTTTGCAAAAATGCAATTGATCACCGGAAAACCAACTATAGATATATGATTAGAGAAAAAAGCATTAATATGATATGTAGTGCTAATTAATTAGATTCTTGGTGATTATTAATAAAGAATTAATATGTCAAGAGGTCTCATTATTGTTGTCCCAACTCACTGAGTTAATATAGTGCCATGTCATAGATTTATGATAGATCAATTATTGTCTTGTTTCAGACGAAATTTAAAAAAAGTAGTAGTGTCTTGTCGCATGAGCTAGTCTAATCTAACACCCTAACCAATAATGGCTAAAGAACATGTATTCATGTAAACTAATGATTACATTTGTGAACTTTCAATATTCACACTTCTAGCACGTACCTATCAAGTCTTGTACCATTTTGTACTCACTGATCGAGTACTGACAGTTGTAGTGTGAGAATTTTAATTTAATGATTGTTGGTTACTTGTGGATATCAGATTCAGGTCCGTTACCTAACGGGCCGTTAAGTTACCATGAATTACATTTCTCCATCAAAAATTTGTCGGACCAAGAAATGTGGGCCCTTAGGACGAAGAATTTCGCTTTTTTGGTGTAAAAGAGAAGAAAGAAGTGTGTAATATCCTGACTGTTTATTTATTTATTATTTAACAACGCGAATATAAATTTGACTTAAATCTTCTCCGACAAATTAAATTAAAATCAACTATTTCATTTCTAATGATCATAATAACATTAAAATTTATACGTACTTAAATGATATAACTGGTTGGATTACCCATGGATAATCATTAGTATTTGTTACTCTAGCTCACAATTATTCAGGTCCTAAAGAGCGAATAATTATTGTTAGTCTGAGTTTAGCAACAATTGTCCATGTGGGAAAAGTCCGCTAATGGGAGGCCCATTGTGTGTTTTGAGTGCACTATAAAATTAGAATCTACGCTTATTTTCCATCAATTTTACAACTGATAGCGCATGGGATCCAACAACTAAAAATATTAAAAATTGAACTAATTAAAGAGATGTTGCAAAGTTTTATGATAATTAGATCCAAAGTGCGTGGAACGAAGCCATTGCTCTTGAACACAACAAAAGCCCACTATTGGAGCACTTGGGTTTTGTGAGAGCCTACCTCAAAAAGATTAAACACCAATCTCAAAGTTGTTTCATTCAATGCTTTTCTTGATTTTTGTTCCATGAAACGAAAGAATCCACAACCAATCATATAGGTGTACTGGATAAATCTAGATTCTCGTATACTGCAAACCATATAAGAGACGTAAACCGCACTAGGCTAATCATGTATGACAAAGTCGATCTAACGACCATTGCCAAGGGAATTCGAACTTGAATCAATTAACACAAACTCAATTGCTCAGATCTCAGACCATCTTTCTGTTTAACTTTATTTTACATACAGAGTTAGGTGGTGATAGAAAAAAACCCACTTCCTAAAATTGAACAAGGAAAAAAACAATAATAAAATAATAACAACCCATTGTTGAAGGAGGAGTTGGATTCCACTTGAGGTGCTTGATTTATGTGAACAAGACATTGGATTATTGGGGACACCACCACCAACATTATTAATATTCAAAATAACATAAAAAAATTAGAGGAAAAAAAGAAAACAAGGACCATCTTCTTTTAGACGTGTAAAGAATAGGGTTCCACTAGATTTAGTCGATCATTGATGCCCTAAGTAAAAATAAATTATAGCCTACATAGTCACCAATTATTGGTGGAAAAGCCATAGGCTTTGCCCTGGCCATGACCCCACTCGACCTGGAATTGACCCTTGCAGGGCCGGCTCAAGCCCATATGGGGGCCCTAGGCAAAATAATAAATTTGGGGCCCTTTACATTAATTTTTTAATATAAAATTAAATATTTTGGATATTTTTATTTTAGTTTAAATACAGGTATTAAAATTATTAATTAGTATATTAGTTTTATACAAAATTCAGGCTATATATATTAATATTTTTTTTAAATAAGAAAATATAAATTTTATTTCGTATTTGGGGGCCCTAACTATAGTAAACATAATTTTTGGGGCCCCAACTATAATACTTATAAGTTGGGGGCCCTAGGCATAGGCCAAAGTTGCCTATAGCCTAGGGCCGGGCCTGGACCCTTGGATCCGACTTGAAATTGCGACATATTTGTATAGGTTAAGACTTGGATTTTTTTTTTAAATCTTTGAAATCGAAATTAGAACAGTCTGGCCGAAATCGCGATTCTCAAATATTAATTGTTTTTTTTTATTTTGTTGATCAAACACAACTTAATGATCACTGCAGATCAACAGGATTAAGTGACTATTTTAACTCAGAGTTTCGACGATTTTGGATCGAAGCACTAGTTTAATCATCCAACAAATTCATTAAAAATAAAAATTGAAAGAACTAAGTGCCACATACTTAAGGTTCAATGCGACTTGTGAACCGGCATAGACCTTCTCGAAGAGCGATTTTAAGAGTCTTGATTTCTCAATCCCCAACTAGATGGTTTAGGCACGACAAACTATGCACTAGTTAACTATACATTAGTTAGGACTTTTAGAGGGTGTTAGAACTAAGCTTATAAGTTGTTAAAACAACTTATAACGGAAAGTGTTTGCTGATTTTTCTAAAAAAATATCTTAAAAGTTTAAAAAATAAGCTTGCCACGACCCGACCTGGAATTGACCCTTGGATCCGACTTGAAATTGCGACATATTTGTATAGGTTAAGACTTGAATTTTTTTAAAATCTTTGAATTGGAAATTCGAACGGTCTTGCCTAAATCGTGATACGCAAATATTAATAATTTTTTTTTTTAAACGCAACATTATGATCACTGCAGATCAACACGATTAAGTGACTATTGTAACTTAGAGTTTCGATGATTTTGGACCGAAGCACTAGTTTAATCATCAAACAAATTCATTAAAAATAAAGATTAAAAAATTAATTGTCACATACTTCAGGTTCAACGCGACTGGTGAACCGACATAGACCTTTCGAAGACAGGTTTCAAGAGTCTTGATTTCTCAATCCCCAACTAGATGGTTTTGGCCCAACAAACTATGCACTAGTTAACTATATACATTATAGTTAGGACTTTTAGACCGTGTTTGAACTAAGTTTATAAACTGTTAAAATAACTTACAATGAAAAGAGTTTGATATTTTTTGTAAAAACAATCTTAAAAGTTTAAAAAATAAGCTGTTGGAGAAATTTTAAGATCTTTCTTAAAAAAATACACCTTCCCATCCTTTTACAATTAAGATCTTATAATGAGTAAAAATAATTTATAAGCAGCTAATTACCTAAATAGTACAAAAAAATAATTTTAAGAATAAAACGTGAAAACTTATCAACTTTTAAAATAACTTATCTTATCAGAATTATCGCATACGGGGATCGTACAAGTTACAAAATGGTTATTCTCAATACACGTGAAAAGATCTAAAAAGCAATATACTACAAGAAAGGAAAGTATGTTGCATACAAAAGCAAAACCATGCGGCAATAATGTGAAACACTTGGACTTAAGATCCACTAATTAACATTATTAGTACTTATTAATTATTCGGACAAGCTATTAATGCTAACATAATTTTTAATTATTTTAGGTACACGTATCGAGTAATGAAATTGGTCCCCACATGGATGCTCGAGCCATCGAATAAAATAATAAACTATTAAATTATTAAGGAAAAGTTTAATTGGTTGTGATTATTAATAATTAATTGTGTATAATTCATGTTGGACAGTTCGATTTCCATGTGAAATTAAAGTGACGTGGTTGGAGGGAGCAAACTGCTGAAATGTTGGAATCCTGGAATATTTGTTTGTTTAATCCTTTTCATTAGTATAATAATATAGGGGCGGTCTCCTAAATATTTTTGGACACTAATACCCTTTTAAATCAGGACAGTTGTATTTTTGTATTTTCCTAAAAATATATCGGGCAACTTAATAAGAGAGCTGAATAGCAAATAGTTTTCGCTATAATACAATGTTTGTTGTATAGTTTTCGCTTGTTTACATTTCTCTTACGGGTGGAAATTGGAACGGAATTTCCGAATTCCACCAATTCCGATCAGAAAATATCTGAATTTGGAACATTTTTTTCATTTCGGTTTCGGATATTCTGATTTTCGATTTTTCCGATTATTTTTGGAACGGAATTGGAATTACACATAAAATTATTCGAAATTCCGATTTCCGATCTGATTGTATTTGCTATATATATATATATATATATATATATATATATATATATATATATATATATATATATATATATATATATATATACATTTTGAGGGACAATTCACGTCCAAAAATCAGCTACCAGTCGCCCATATAGCGAGTGAGTCACATGAAAGTCAACCAGGAGGGTTTCTGCCTCTGACTACATTTCACATAAGGTTTTTTACTATTTGGATATTACAAAGGGGTACTTTTTGCAATTTACTCGAGTTTAGATAAATGGTTGTACTACAATAGTGAATGAGAAGAAGATCGAGAATATGATGCACAGCTTTGAAATGTTGACATGATTGAGAGGCTCAGTATTGCCATTGATGTTGCTCAAGCACTTGAATATCTCCATTGTGGTACTGACTCGACAATTGTTCACGACGATTTGAAGCCGAGTAACATTCTTTCGTATCAAGATATGATAGCTTTTGTTGGTGACTATGGAATATCCAAGATTATTTCAAGCATTCTTCCACCAACTGAACGCAGCAACAACTCAATTGGAATCAGAGGTACCTTCGGCTATGTTCCACCAGGTATTACTTCAATAAACTATACTCCTACATCCTTCATCGGCTAAACAGTATAAAACCCCAATGTATTAATGAAAACTTGTGTCAAAACCCCTGTGTTTTTTTCATTGCGTAAAACCCCCTTGTGTTTCATTTTACTTTGCACGAAATTTTATTTTCCGTTAAAAGTTAACATCGTTATCTGTAGAGGGGATTTAATGTGATTTTTTTATAAGAGATGGGGATTTAGTGCATATTTTCTTCAATACAAGGGGATTTTATGCAAAATTAATTTATTCATTTAAATTTCATATTATTTCCTTAAATTAAGTCGAATTCATTTATTCAGTTACAATATGAAAAATAGAAATTTAATAGGTGTGGTGAATGTTTAAAAAAATAAATTATATGATATAGCTTAGGGTAAATTACAACCACCCCTAAGGTATGGTCAAATTACGAAAAATTCCCTCATGTTGGATAATTACAACTACCCCTTCAACTATGAATTTTTTTACACGTCCACCCTTATGGAGTCAAAATCAACATAATCTTCAAGATTCCGTGGAATGTTCACTAGTTTGTACACGTTTTGTGCAAAAATGCAGTTTCTGATGCACCACAATTTGATATATACAGCCAAAAAACACATCTTATGATCATCTTGCTTCAAAATGTAGAGCTCGAATGGGATAAAACGGGTACAAAATTGCGAATATGACATGTAATCTAGAAGATTCCACTAAATTTAAAACCGCAAGGACAGACATGTAAGAAGATTTATAGTCGAGGGGGTGGTGGTAATTACCCAAACAGGAGATTTTTTTTTTTATAATTTGACCATACCTCAGGGTGGTTGTAATTTACCCATTTGATTATTAATGTCGAGTAAAAAGTTTCATTTTGCCAGTATAATGATTTTTGCTGGTGGATTTTCTATAGGGAAAACGGCACATTATCCCCTGTAAATTTCTAATTTTCGAACTTTACCCCCTCAAAAATTTTAAAAGTGAATTTCCCCTTTCAAAATATTATTTTTGTTGCATATTGCCCCGATAACGAAACTCCAACGGATTATTAATTGGAATTGAGTATTTTTGTTGCATGTTGCCCCTTTAAATGTTATTTTTGTTACAAATTGCCCCTTAAAGCACTATTTATTTGCATGTTGCCCCTTAAAAATGGTATTTTTGTTGCACAATGGCCCCAAAAAATTGGCTTCTAGGGCAAAATGCATCCAAAATACTATTTCGAAGGGGGAGTATCCTTTTTCAATTTTTTAGGCGGGAAAGTACAAAAATAGCAAATTTGTAGGGGGTGAAATGCATTTTGTCATTTTCTATATATCGAGAAAACAAAGTCCTATTTACAAACCACGGTCACACTTGATGACGTATGTACCGCAATCGTGGACATGATTCCTCCGCATTGTGATATTTGTCTTAAATATCTCTCTTTTACGCCGGCCCCGCTATCAATCTATATTTTCTTCAGAATCCATTTTTCGGATTCCGCTTTCGGTGTGAACCAGGACATCGTATTTCTTCAATAAGACGTTCAAATGAAAATTTTATTTCTACTTAATATGAGTAGACAATACATTAATAAATATGTCAAATTGACCATCATAAATTGCTGATTCCTTCAATTTAAAATCACAATTATAACAATTGTCCTTTTCATGATCGAGAACACTAGTAATAGGAGTACAAAAGACATTATGATTAAAGTTCCAAAACATTATTTAGATCTACGATGCAAGTTCAACTTAGACTGCAGGCAACTTCACAGTTCTTGCTTCGGCTGCTTTTTTAACATGAGTTTGGTCATAAGGGCATCGGTTAAAGCAGAAGCAGATGTAAGAGATGCCTTCAATATACTCAAACCCTACGAAAACAATTAAAGCATTTAGTTTCAATATGCGGTGAAAATATAGAACAAATAAAAAAAATTACATTACCTCTTCCAACCGAATCTCAAGCTCCAGTTCCTGGACATCAGATAAAGGAATATTCTGCTCCTTAAGAGCCAAGAACATTGAGGCCATACAAAAAGGTGTCACAGTTAAATCATCGGTTATGTTATACATTGTTGGTCCCCTTATATATTTTCCCTGGCCTTTCACAAACTTTACAGAAGAAAACTTTTGCAAATCGGGTGAAGTATCATAAGTATAGGGAAAACTTTCTCCGGTGAGAGGAAGAATTTGATTTTCGGAAATATAACCATGAGGTAACTTGGCTTTCATCAGCCTATTTTTCATAGCTGGAGTTGCTAAATGATTGTCGTCAACATGATCCACTATGCTTACGTACAAATTGTCTATTGCCTTAAGACAGGTTTTACCGACCAAAAGGTATCTAACTGCTCCAAAAGGTATGGCAAGCAAACTACAAAGAAAATCAAGAAAATCTTCCCCTGCTCGAGCAAACAATAACTTATTTGTAGACTTTTGTACCATAAACTTCAAAATGATCATCTCATTTGAGTTAGAAGTTGCTTCTTTCACCTTCCCTTTAAACGAAATTCCGGGTTCAAATTTTAGTCGGGCAAGACCATCAACGTACGTAACATGTCTTTTATAGAGTATAAGGTCGGATAGTGGAGTACGGGAGAGTAAGGATACCATGAGCAAATCCATAATCTACAAGAAGATGGAAAAAATGAAGATACATATAAAATTGAATAGAGATTGTTAGTAATTAATAGGACGAATTAAGTGCACTTCGCCCCTAGAAATTTTCAATTTTTGCACTTGCCCACCTACAAATTTAAAAAAGAAATTCACCCCTTCAAAATTTTGTTCCAGTTGCATTCTGCACCCAATTTGCTGCGTATTTTTCACCAGAGTTGCAATAAATACATTCAATTGAAGGGCATTTGCATCATTTTAAGGACATATCAACGAAGAAGAATTTGAAAATTCTCACAATTTTGGGACTGCAATAAGCACAATTCGTGTTGGGAGAAAAACAAACCCAAATTTAATTTTATGAAATTAGTGAAATGGTTTGTGTTTTTCATCTATTAAAAAATATAAGGGTATTAGAATTTGAAAGAAAATAATAAAGTGACTCAAATGCCCTTGAAGTGGACGGATAAATGGCAATAACGATGAAAAATAGGCCAGGCCCCTGTGATTTGAGGCAAAGTGCAACTTGAACAAAATTTTGAAGGCGAATAGTCCATTTTTTCAATTTGTAGTGGGAAATGTGCAAAAATTAAAAATTTGTAGGGGGACGCAGTGCATTTTATCCTAATTAATAAAGAATCAAGAACTCACCTCATTAAATCCAAAAGTCACTGTCCTCAGCTCGCCCACATCCATGTTGGCAATGCCAAGATTTATGAGAGTTTGAATGAGATCAGTCGAATTAGGAAATATCTGAAGATCGTCAGAGATAATAAACGACGCCGTGTTTATGGTGAAAACTGCCGGAGCAAACTCCTTGGTTATACCAACTGCTTTTCGTGTCATTGGTCTCCCACAATAACATATAGCAGTATCATAGTACACGCTTGTAAACCAAGCGCGTCCACAATTCGGGTGTTCACAAGTGAAATATTCAGTTGGCTGAGTATCACTTATATCAAGTTTCAGTTTACGACATTCTTCTGCGAATGACCCCATGGGATTTAGCAGCACCTCCTTACAACCCTCTGTCCAGAAATGACTGTTGTCGAGATTAGCTAAGCCGTTGTACAAACTTGTTAAGCTCCCAAAAACAGGCGCCTCTTTATCTCCATAGTGCTTCTTCAGAACTCTCACAGCGGCTCCCAATGGCAATGTGAGGAAGCTAATCAAGACATCTACGAAGTCGCTATTAGCTTCCACAAATATAACTTTGTTTTTCTGTTTGTTTATAACAACTTTTAAAGAGAACTTAACATCTTCATCACCAGACATTCTGCTATTGTATGTTGGGAGAAAAGCTTGCAACCTTAATTCTGTTCATTTTTATAAGGCCAAAAAATCAGATCAAGAGTCAATTGTTACACCAAGGGACGTAATTAAATAAATTTCATTTAGATGCATGTACATTGTTTTTGGAGTTGACAATCGGCATTTTTGGAAGTGTAAATAAAATTAATATTTAATGACTAATAATTATAAGGGTCTATTAGATATAACCCCCTTAAACATTCAAATAATAGGGGTATACCCAAATTTAAATTTGCCATTTTGATAAAAACCCAAGCTTTTCGTAATTACATAATTACCCTCAATCAAATCCCACAAATTCCGTTACTTTACCTTTTGAAATAATATCAAATCCCTTCCTATTTTCCCGTTAACACACTATCACCCCAAAACCCACTATCAAATAAACTGCAAAAACCTCCCAGAACCACTTCCCGGTACGGCCGATCGAAGGGGAAGAAATCTGCACTGCCGTGAAACGACGATTTTCGTGGACTCCGAGCAAGCCGCCGTAGGTACGTCTTCGCCGGTCGCTGCATCGCTATCGTCCATCGATTTGTTCATGTTTTGGCTAAATCGACTATCACGTTTGTATAATTGCAGATCTGTTATAATCGCATACCGAATTCGAGCACTAAATCATTGATATTGCAACAATTGATGGGCAGGACATCCACCAGAAGTGATATCGTCGTTGGCCGCCGTCGCCGTCGCCGTCACTGCTCCAATCTAGGGTTACTCAAATTTAGGATTACTCAAATCTGGGGTTTTGATAATTCTTCGGCCCATAGTTGATTAACGAGATGTATAGTCGAATTACATCTGTATTAATATACTATCCCATATCATTTAATAGACTATCCCACTGGTATGATTTTACTATGGATCTCGTTAATCGACTATGGGCCGAAGAATCATCAAAACCCTAGATTTGAGAAGTGACGGCGGCGGATTTGTGTTTTAAAATTAATAGACTATCTCATATCTTTTAATAGACTATCCCATGTATCTAATTCGACTATGGGTTTAGTTAATTGACTATTGGAAAAATAATAATATATATGGAAACTGAATAATATGTTTGTTTGAAATACTAATCAATTAGGGTAATTTTCCTTGTTATATGAAAACGATTAAGGTAAATAATAATATATATGAAAAAATAATAATATATATGGAAACTGAATAATATGTTTGTTTGAAATACTAATCAATTAGGGTAATTTTCCTTCTATCATGTAATAGACTATCTTATTGATCTAATTCGACTATGGATCTCGTTAATCGACTATGGATCCCGTATTATTCAACCACATAGTATATTAATAATTTCAATATAGTACATTAATCTGCTATGATAGTATATTACGGTTATAGTAATGATATGAAATTGTGTTACAAACAATATACCACTGAAATGACAAGAACATTGAGAACAACACCAACGTAAAGTATTCCACATAACGAATAAAATAGTACATTAATAATCTCATAATTTCAATCTAGGGTTTTGATAAAATACATAAAACACATCATAACACAATCAAACCAATATGTCGAGTTAAAAAACTCTAGTACATTAATAATCTCATAATAGTATAATAAAATGATAATGGTAGTATCATACGGTATTCATAATAGTATACTACTGTATTACAACGGTTTAACACTTAACCGAAGTTACCGAGCCATTACATCGTAAACACCTCTTTATAGCAACCAACCCACCAAACCTCAACAAAATCCGTACGAAATTCGCCATCGAAAAAACCTAAAATCATGAAACAATTAAAAATGCAGAATACTAAAAAATGATTAAATAGACTGCAAATACATTTGAATGATAATACATTAATATCATCAAAAATAAACTTAAAATGCAAAATCCATACGCTAAATTAAAAAAGACTACGAACTATATTTTAATGTACTACCCAGCACACTTAAATCGGATGTTATAAACAAATAAACCAACTATCGATCGGGATACAAACATGAACTCGACCACAGCGGACAATTATTTCGATTACTGCATAAACCAACTACGACACTCATATAAAACAACTCTGGTCCGATCTGCGTGAACCATCCTCTTCTAACTCTGTCAATCCTCTTCCAAACAAACATCATCGGCCAAAAAAAACGATATATATATATGACGGAATAATTTTGTTAAAAAACGTTCTACTTAATAGAATCAAGTATCAACACAACTCTTAAAAATTCCTAACCACCGTACACGACAATCATGGACATTGAGCAAAAAATAAAAACGAATAACGCATTCATACCCGCTTAACAACGTCCAACAACAAACGCTCAAAAATCGATCCTATTTCCACGACGGTGCAGAAATCTTCAAAGACGATAAAACCCGCTCGAACGATGCAGAGAATCTTCAAAAAATATTGTACACGATTTGATATAACGGCCAATGATCTCACGTAAATTTATTCCGTGATTTTAGGCAACGTATCAGCAAATCTCAAATCACGTATTAAAGGAAATAAATGCCGTTTAATAATAAAACAGGGGTATTAAAGGAAAATTATATAATATATTTTGCCAAGTTGGCAAAATTGGGTGTATCTCAAAAAGGGGAAAAAAAATTGAATCTACCTCATTAGAAAATATGAACAAGGGGGTTTTCCCTAATAAACCCTAATTATAAATACTATGGACAGAGGTCGTCTGATTCATTAACATCATACAGCTGGAGCCTTAATTCCTAGTTTTTTACTTGCTTTAATATTTTCTTGAAACTATGAAAAAATTATCTTCACAATGTATATATTTATTTCTTGAAATTTAATTTGATGCATTATACATAAATGCATGCACCTATCAACGGCATTTTAATTATACTAACACCTACATTTATGGGCAAATTCCACTTTCCCCCTTATACTCTAGGTCAAAATCACTTCACCCCTCCTACTCTCGATTGCATCGATTTGCACACTTACACTTGTAAAATAGTCCCAATGTGGCTCTCACTGTTATTTTTCATACTTTTCACCTTGACACCGTTAGGTCAAAACTCAGAAATTACAAAAATGCCCCGCTCATAGTTGAATGTATATATTCTTCAATATCCGACTATTCTTATTAAAAAAAGAGGATAAATTCCACTTTCCCCATTGTACTTTGGCTCGATATCACTATACCCCTTCTACTCTCAATTGCATCGATTTGCTCCCTTGTACTTTGGCTCGAGATCACTTTACCCCCTTCTACTCTCAATTACATCGACTTACCCCATGAACTTGAAAAATTATCTCAATGTGACCATCGCCGTTAGTTTTCACACATTTGACTTTAACACCGTTTGATCCAAGTTTGAAAATTACAAAAAAACCACCCTTCCCAGTTTAAATAATTATTAAAAAATAATAAAAAAAATTGTGGCTGGCGTCGTGGACTATGTGTTCTCGTTGTCTTGAATTTTTTATTATTTTTTTTTATTTTTTTTTAATAATTATTTAAACAGGGAGGGGTGACTTTTAAGTAATTTTCAGACTTAAATCAAACGGTGTTAAGGTCAAATGCGATGGCCACATTGAGACAATTTTTCAAGTACATGGGACAAATCGATGCAATTGAGAGTAGAAGGGGGAAGAGTGATATCGAACCAAATTACAAGGGGGCAAATCGATGCAATTGAGAATAAAATGAGGTAAAGTGATATCGAGCCAAAGTACAATGGGCAAATCGATGCAATTGAAAGTAGAAGGAGTAAAGTGATATCGAACCAAAGTACAAGGGGATAGTGGAATCCCTAAAAAAAAATATCCGACTATTCAGGCTTGGATTGCCGCCGGCCGTCCACCACTAGAATCTGACGCCACCACGGTCCAAAACTAATACACTACAACTATTCGTCCCAAATTCAGCCCACTGGGAAAGGAGAAGGGGTAGTTGGCGGCGGGTATGGGAATCAAATAGGCGGTGCAAATGCTTGAGCTGGGGTGGGCGGCGGATATGGGAAGGGGTAGTTGCCGGCGGATTATTTTGGTTGTAGAAGAAAAGTCAAAGTAGGGTTTAATTAAGTTTTATAATATTGCAATTTGTTCCCTATTTTTTTAGAAATTAAAGTTTCAATCAATGAATAAACAAATTCAACTAGTAGGGGTGGGCACTTTTGTAATTTTCAGGCCTTGACCAAACGATGTCAATGTCAAAAGTTGGAAAACTAACGGTGAGAGACACATTGAGACAATTTTCCAAATGCAAGGGGGCAAATCGATGCAATCAAAAGTAGAATGGGATAAAGTGATCTCGACCCAAAGTATGAGGGGGTAAAGTGAAATTTGCTCTACATTTGAATATAACTACTCTATAATAAGAAAATCTTAATTATTTATCTTAAGGATTACTACAATAGTTATCTTAAGCTTCATTTGGATTCAAGGATTTGAAATAAATTTATTTAAAAGGGACAAATATAACTTTGGCCCCTATATTATACCACTAAAATGTTTTTTGACCCTATATTATCTCAGAATTGATTTTATTACATGAATGTGCCCCCCCGCACCCGCCACCCCGGTCACTTTTTTTTTTTTTTTTTTTTTCCTTTCACTTTTGGCCCCCCGGCCACACCTGGGATTTGTTTGGATGACAAAAGTCACAAGTTTTGGACATGCTCCTATTTCATTTTCTTCTCGTTCTTCTTCCAAAAGTTCCCATTCAAAACCCTAAATTATCCGGGCGCGATCATTCAAATTCGACTTGCAGTTTTTTTTCTTCTAGATAAATTTGCTAAATATCGCGGCTACATTGTTGAGTATATCATATTTTTCAAGGGCTAATTTCACTTCGACCACCTCCTAGATAGTTAAATTGCAGATCCATCCACTCTTAGTTAAAATTGCCCAAACCTCCCTGGTTGAATATCTCCACTTACTGCCCCTCCCTCCATTTCCGTGGACGGAAATTGATGACGTTATCAAAAAATTAAGTGAACTCAATATTTTACCCTTTTACTGAAGTTGATTATGCTGATCATTTTTTTACGGACTGAAATGCTCTTACAATTTATTTCAATGGGAGGGGTGTCAAAGCAATAAATTAAATATATAAGGGGGTCTTAAAAATTTGAGACAACTACTTTACATCTATTTTGCAAAAGAAAAAACATTTTCACTTATTTCCCCAAATTGCTCAAACTGTAAACATGAAATTTAGTTCAAAGTCTTCAATTTCAGTCGACGTCTTCAATTTCTTGGTTTTGCACTTATTTTCCCAAATTTCTCAAATCCTAAACACAAAATCCGGGGCAATTTTTTTTTTGGTGCGGTTTTGATTTGGGGTTTTTAAAATGGTGTTGTTTGAGTAGGAGTTAGCAAATTGGGGTTGGCCGCCACCGGCAACGGCGGCACCGGGCGGAGATGCCACTGCCAACGGCGGCACCGGCTGGAGACGCCGCCACCGGTGGCGTCTTCTAATATTTTAATATTTTAATAATTTAATATTTTAATATTTTAATATTTTAATATTTAATATTTTAATATTTGGCAAATAGGTTCATGAGAAGGGC